CAGTTGTTATTAAGCACCCGGTTTGTATCGGTGTCCACCTTCATTGAGATGGTTTGATGAGATGTTAGTCCAATTATGAGCAGCAACAATAGATGGACTGAATCAGAATCTTTGTGAAGGTGTGCACATTCAGAGCTCCATTACACCTGGCCTGCATTCATTTACAATGCCCTTTTTCCGAGCGCATGCCTTTGTCTTCTCACTCTCAAGCCTGATCAATTCAGCTTGTCATCAAATGTTACCTTGAAACAATGCAATCGAAGTAATTGTGTCCAGAACAATGAAGGTGCACACAGGAGACATCAGCATGGACATATCTTATCTAAACGTCCCGAGCAGTTCAATGTGAACAGGATGCAAAAACACGGTCACTGCTGGATACAAATATCAGCAGTCATTGTCACTAACCTGATGAAGTGGAGAAATTAACGGATATTGCAGGAGTACGATAAAATAATTGCTTTTCTCAACTGTATCTTTAAGACTGGTTATTTAAAATGGAAGTCATTGTTTTCAATATAATTGCAGTTTGGCTCTTGCTACACATTCATTTGTGACTTTTTTGGAATGCATTAAGCTGTGGTAGGCTAGTATGTTTTTAAATATTATTATTCTAGTGACAAAGGCATCTGATAACAGTAATATTTTACAAATATTTTAGAATTTAAAATATCTATTGTCTATCTGGATATATTTTAAAATTGTATTTATTCCTGCGATGCAAAGCTGAATTTTCAGCATCATTACTGCAGTCTTCAGTGTCACATGATCCTTCAGAAATCATTCTAATATGCTGATTTGGTGCTAAGCTTAAATGTATTTATTTATTGCTGGATGGATGGATGGATGGATCATTTATGACTTTTTGTTTTATTAGATGGACATAATCTGACAATCTAATAAATGTGCCAGACACAGCACTGTTCAAAATCATCCATATTTGCAATGCACAGTCAGGATCGTATATTTATAGCCTTTGTACTCACCGGAGCTCATTGTACATGCTAGTGCACTCACTTCCTCTAGAATACTGCTAACTGAATAATGATCTTCAGTCTATTGCATGTGATCCAGACGCTGTATTTCCCATGACTTATGCCAGAAATCCTAGCGGCAAATATTTCATGATTAATAATTGAATAAATTAAAGAGCCGTCTCACAGAGAGAGAGAAAAAAAACAATTTCCCTTGCTCTTCTGAAATAAATGTGCTATGTTAACATAATCGTATGTTTTAGTGATCTATGTGGCAAAAAGCAAAGTATATATATTCTTTTATATCTATATTCTTGGATATAGGTGAAGCTAAACTCTAGGTGGTGTTAGTTGGTGCTAACCACCAACGGAGATGCTGTGTAGTTCAGGCATGAACTCTTCTTGGGTTGAAAAGGAAAGTAAATGCAGCACAACTCAATTGTAATTGCAGAATAGCTTGTGCGAGTCAGTCATCTTATGGATTCCTGAAAAGTCAGCATGTCATGGCTCAAGGGACTCGCTTACTTGAATCCGTGCAACAGCTTCCTTTCAAATACACCTACTGCAGCAGTCTATAGATAAAACGTAATCAAAGTTATATTTTTTATTTGTCAAAATTGCTGTATAAATTAAACTCTGTATAAATGGGACATTTCACATTTGGCATATTTCATATAAAGAATTAAGCCTATTTTAGGATCAAATTTATTTATTTTTTCTTGAATTGTGACATTGATGAAAATTAAAGCCATTTTTCCATAAATTACCATAATGCGTTCAGATTTTACTTTTGAGTTCCAATTAGATTTTGATTAATGTATTACAGTAAAAGAATACAATGCATATATATTTTTTTCTGAATTGTAGTTTAGATTTAGCAGTATAAAGTATTACTTTGTGTAAATAAAATCTAAATATGTTTAAATATATATAAAAAACATTATTTTAGATATTACAAATACAATAATGTTTTACAGGGTTTCTGCAGGTTTTATGGAGGTAAATTTAAGATTTTTTCAAAGACCTTTTAAGACCAAGTAAAGAAAGTTTAAGGAATAAATTGAAGGAAACACAATGTCAATATGTTTTCTAAATGTAAATGTCTAGGGAGCACACAATGTGTTGTATTAGCAATACTTAGCACTTTAAAATGCAATCTCCATTATTCATTCATTTCACTCAAATCATTTTACAAAAACAAAAGCTTAAGGCTTAAATAGCTCTGCTCCCAAATATGGAATACGGAAATAACCTTTACTTTTACTTTTGATCACACTGCAATGAAGTGATGTTCTTTATTAATATTTTTGTCTTGTTTTCCAATGTAAATTTCTAAATATTCTTAAATCAAGATACATTTTCTGTAGATGCAAAATTACATGCAAAATGCAAAATGACATATGAAGTCTTGCTGCAAATATCTGTCATATGGAGTCAGAAAAAAATCTGCTTAATTTGACTGACAGATCTGCTTTTGTCTTAAGAATAAACTTAATTTGGTTCCATTTCTCAGAAAACAAATTCATATCATATTTTTCCTTCAAAAGTTAATGCAATGTAAATCAGAAAATTGATTTAAGATTATTTAGATATTTGAATTGAGAAAACAAAACAATAAAATACTGAGGAAGATATTCTCTGAGGAAGATATTATCTCTATATATTTTTTTTGCAGTGTATGCAACATTTAATGCTATGATTACATGAATTTAAGGCTTTCTTCTCTGATTTAAGGACTTTTTAAGACCAGCAGAAACCCTGTTATAATGATAATATGATAAATATCACAATGAAAAATTCACAATCACAGTCCTAAAAATAGGCTTGGATCTTATTTATGCTATACATATTATTTCTTCATTTTGATTTGGGGTTAAAATATGTCTTGCTTCACTTTTGCAAGATCTGCCCTGCAATGCAAATGCTCTAAGCTGAAGTCTGCATGTTGTATTCTTTATGGATTTAGACTGTGATTAGATTTCTAAAAATGTCAACTGTTAACTGGGTGAAACTGGTCTGAAACCCAACCCATACTCCTCTCTCTACTACTGTAGTTTATGTTCTATCTATAAAAGAAATCATGAGCTGAACCTTGGACCATTTTTATAAGGTGTATCTTTATATAAATGATTCAGCTTACTACAGCTTGTGCATAAAGTGCTTTCTAGTTGCCCAGAGCCTGAGAAGTAAAAATATACCCTCTCTTAAGCAGCTAACTGTCATTTAAATATCACATACTCATCAGATGTGGGCAGGCCATGATGGTTATGTATCTACAGCCATAAAGATTTTATGCCATCCATTATGCATAAAGAGTTTATTTAATTATGAGGGCAAAACGTGATTGTCCTCTGCCTTTGGATTCCTTTTCATAGCCGTCAGTTCACCCTGTGAATAAACCACTGTTTTGTGCCTGGAATATAAATAGACTGTGTGTGTTGATGTGTGCAAGTCTGTGTCTCCATATATACCATACTATGTCCTATAAATCAATCGGTGCCCCTTTTAGCTTTTTAAACTGGCTAACAAAAACACTTAGGCAAAGTCACAAGTATATTTGTTCCAATTAATTACATTAAAGGTCTAAACTAAGACACCATTTGCTCCAGAAAAGTCATTTGGAAGGTTTCAGTCACAACGGACCCCCAAAATAGCAAATGAATATATTAATGATCTTATAAATCTTAGCAGGAGCTCTGCATTTACATTACGGGCCATTTATACAAACAACAGAGTTGGCATTTGTTCCCATGCACTCTGCAATTAGTGCAAGCTACGGCTATCCAAAAGTCATCTATTTTTAACACTGTTGTGCTAATTCACACATCTTCATAGTGACCCATAAACTGTGCTATATGATGAGGATATACTGTAGGCTAGTTAAAAGGTCTACAGTAGAGACCTTTCATAAACACAGAGATTATTTCCATCACCATTTAAAAATATTCTTTCTGAAATATGTGATGTGGCCACGAATACGTATTTAATTTTTTTTAATGTGTAAAATTCATGCGGCTTCCCTTAGAAGCACCACCTAGAGTCGCTAAAGTGTCACTAGAGTTAAATTACAGTGGTATTTATAAGCATTTTACTTTCGTTTACGTAAGTATTCCTGAGTGAAACAGTATAATGAGCAAAAAAGTTGGTGTATTATTTTATCCTTCAGGAATTAGATTTATTACCATTTAAAATGTTTCTACTATTTTAAAATGTAAATTTAAATGAATTTTCAGCAGCATTCCTCCAGTCTTCAGTGTCATGTGATCCTTCAGAAATCATTCTAATATGCTGATTTAGTGCTGTAGAAACATTTCATATCAATGTTGAAAACAGCTGTGCAGCGTAATAGTGGAAACTGATACATTTGAATAGAAAATTCAAAAGAACAGTATTTATTTGAAATATAAATCGTGTGTCAGGAGTGAATTCCAGGTTTGTGTGTGTAAAGAAACAAAACTCACTTTTGAAGTTGTGATGATTGACACCGTGGTAACCATAGCAACATTTTGGCATCTTATTTTTGGTAATATTACAGTGACCAAAGACTCATTATGCTCAGAGATTTTAATGAAACCATCGTCGACAGAGCTGTCATGTTTTGTTTATGTTTGGAAGGTTGCTTGGCAGAGCATGCTCTTGAAGGGTTGCCATGTCCACTTATTATAAGCAACACTTTTTAAGCCTCTTCGGGTTTGTTGTTTGGGCACAGCTCATAAAACAATCCAGTTTATGGAGTTAATAAAGTAGGCAAGCCCAGGTCGCAATATTTTGGTATGTGGCTTATTTCCAAGATAACACATTTGGATTTAAGTTTATTATGGCCTTGTTCTTATTTGCTATTTTTTATAGCAAGATCCGCTTACACTAATGAGTCAAATCGTACCTGGTTCACTGTGATTTCTTGCACTGCACATGCAGAAAAGAGACACAAATCTGATACGCATTTAAATACATCATTAACAACTAGTTGTTCAGTTCAGTCCATTACAAACTGTGTAGAATTTCTGCAAATGCGGTTGTACTCACAAGTGGTCGGCTTGTTGCAGTTGTGTCCATGTCGAAAGTACTGCGGGTTCTCGATGACAGGAATGCGACTCATGCCGATTACGACGGCATCAGGTCCCGCATCGAGAGAGCAGGGTGTGACAATACCATGGTTGACATGATGAAGAGGGCTTGCAGAGTCTTCCTCACCGCTGATGACTGCCACTGGGCCTGTAGAGCAAGCACAAAGTAATGATAAACCTACAACAGATTGAATGTTATTTTGAAGTATTGAAAAAAACAAAGATGGCTTTGATCCAAATCAAGCTCTGACTACTGTCTTTGTAAAGAGCCAAAGGAGACATTAGACTTTAAACACTAGCTAAACGGGATGACTTAACAACCATCGGCTCATTTCACAACATTAAACCTTCACAAGACTACAAAGACGTCAAAATCTCTTTCATCAAGTTTACTTGTTTATTCATTGTGAAATTGACTGGTTGAAAATCATCTAAATTTGCCACCTGAGGGAAAGCCATTGAGCCGAACTGGGGAATTGGGAAGGAAGGACAGTGTTACTGCTGGTAAACATATCATTTTCAACAAGCCCACCTCAAAACAGGACTCTTCATAACAGCCGGTTGTTCACAAGCACACTCAAGGGACCGGTTTAAATATGGCCAACCAAACAAATGATCAACACAGAGGGACTGAAGTACTGAATGTCGTCTCCTTAAATGTCTAAAATCTGTCTGTAATGCTTCAGACTTGGACAGATATCTATAAACCCACCTAATGAGCATTATTTCACTGAATTCATTCCAAGCTGAGCTCTTGTCGGTTAATGTCTGATGTGAAATTCTGTTATCCTAATGTGAAAATGAATCCCATTTATCTGAATACCCAGATTTTCTAATGAAAATCTCTATAGCTCTGTTCCAAAAAATAGTGAGCTGCCTTTCTGAGGGCTGCAGGAATGAGTCCTAAAATCCACAAATAAAATTTCTGGTTCCATCGTCCTGATGTCAGTGGGTTTTTGGTTAAATGTCTGAAATGACCTCATGGTATTTTTACGTTTTATTCTACAACATGAATATATCAGTAATATCCCACTCGTGATTTAAGCTTTTACGTTTCTTAAAAAGGTGGCAAGTGATTAAATTGAGCTGGTTGAGAACATTAAATGTCATCACGACAAACAGGTAAATTCACTTTTACAGCCTTGTTATGTTTATAATGGAGCTCTTGCAAACTCTAATTTCTCAAATTTCAACTCTCACTTTATAACTTGTAGATTTTAAATAAAGATTGAACGAGTTTAGAGCTTGGTGGTAGTGTCACTGAGGTCATTTGTCTGCTGTAGTTTATAGCTTTAGCTTTTTACTTCTGACCATTGTATTTAGACTTGAGAATTCATGAAAGTTTGTTAATTTGTGAAGATTATCTTGTTAAACAAAACATGTAAGTATCAAAAAATATGTGAAAAGTGGTAAAACAGCAGCTGTGGTTGCCAGAACTTCACCATAAAATATATAGCAATGTTTTAGGTTTTACTGATTTAACTAAAATTGAGAGAAAAATCTTATTTCATTAACTGATATAATTTTAATATACCAACATATCGAAGTACTAATATCTGTTTTGTACCTTTGTAATACACTGACGAACACACAACATTTTTTTCAATGAAAAAACATCAAATGTGAAGTGTCACTCAGGGAATTATGGGAATGTCAATTGACAGTGTTTCACAGTAAATCACACGTTAAATGGATATTCACTTCTTAAATCTGTACATTTAACAGTATTTTACTGTAGAATTACATTAAATATATTAGATCTATATTATATGTTAGATCTATTACAGTTATAAAGGTTTTCACTGTAGCAAATGTTTACATTCTTTTACAAATCATTTTTACTTTTACATTTGTCATCTGTACAGCCCTCTATGTTCACACACACACACACACACACACACACACACACACACACACAGGTTTGTTTTTGTGAAAAGTGGGGACATCCCATAGGCGTAATGGTTTTTATACTGTACAGACCGTATATTCTATTGCCCTACACCAACTCTATCCCTAAACCTACCCCTTACAGGGAACTTTGTGCTATTTCAGATTTTCAATACACTCCATTCTGTGTGATTTATAAGCGTTTTGAAAAGTGGGGACATGGGGCAATGTCCTGAAAAGTCACCTTCTCCTTGTAATACCTATGTCATACCTTTGTCATTATACAAATTTATGTCATTTGTCACAAAAACGCGCACACAGACACTCACACACACACACTCTCTCTCACACAATGTCATTTGTCACAAAAACGCGCACACACACACACACACACACACACACACACACACGCACGCACGTAACAGGTATAGAAAGTATTATGTTCATATATGTAGAATTACACCAAAATTTTCAAATGTGTACCTGATATGCCTGTCTGTATGTGTGTGCACCTTCCCCTTTAAATTTCTGAATGCAATGTTGATCCTAATTTCCTGTCTTTGCACCTCTTCTTCCCTTGCTGAATACAGCACTCTGCATTGGAGAGGTGGGTTTCTAATGAGCTCTGATTAATCCAAGTACATCTTTTTCTTTTAAATTACTTTTGTAGTTAAATCGGTCGTCTAAATCATATACAAGACATTGTTTTTTTCTTATTTTTGTATTTTTATCAAGTTTGGTCACTTTTCTGTCCGATGTGAACTGGAAGCACATGCTAATTACATTGCACTTTACATTCGTCTTACAGAAACGAAAAAGGGTGAATTCACACCGTATATACATACTCTTATGTCTTATCAGGTATGCTGCTTTGTTACTAATGTTGTTAAATTAATTTAATTGCTGAAGTGTCCCCTTTCTGCACTGTCTCTGCATGGGAGAGAAACGAAAGAGGGCGAATTCACACCGTACATACATGCTCTTATGTCTTATCAGATTAAAGAAGAGTCGAACCGTCATCTGATGTCTGATTAATGCATAAAAAACACAACGCAGACTACACTGGTTACACGTGGTGCCGTGACCATTTCGGATCATCAGATCAGCGCTTGCAGATCGCCGTAGTTGCGTGAAGGCTCGCCTGCTTCGCCGATCTCCTCTCCCGGTCTTTCTCACCGCCATCGCTTGCAGCGGCCCGGTGCTCACGGATAAGGTGAGCGCGTGTGACACAAACAGCACGTGACATCGCGGGACAGACTGTTGCTTGTTAAAGGGACGGTAAAGAGTTCGTTGACTTTATGATCGACGACTTTTTTTCTCCAGAAGATTTTCGTTCATCGTTAAAGCACATTAATGAGAGAGACTTTGTGATAAGGACAGCAAGACGCTTCAGTGACCGTCGAACATTGTATCCTTCATATTGAACTTTTGAAAGAGTCTTAATAAGTGTATTTCTTCAAAGTATATTTTATCTGCATTCTAGGTTGTGCATTTGTTTTTATTTTCATTTTCTGAGGCAATTATTACGTTTTTCTGTGTTTACTATTTAAGCTGAGTCATGTTTGAGGATACTGTTAGTCAGGAAAATCTTAGTCCTGTGCAACGGCCCAGTCCTATATTCCCAGTAGGCAGGAGTAGTGGGGCTGGAATACAGCACACTGACAAAATGTCTGATGCTTCACCTCAATGTTTTGGGAGAGGGAGGGCATTCTTTAATGCAGAAATTGACCATGTACATATGTCTGATTCAGCTGTTGGTGCTTCAGAGAGCCCAGCTGCTTGTTCTACCCCTTTTACACATGCAAATTCTGATCATGTTATTACTGCTGAGTCTTTAGGGGGTATTATTTCTGATTTGGCACAGAAAATCGGTCAAAGCATTTCAGCCAGTCTCAATGTAGCACAGCAGCCCAGCCAAATGCAGTCTAAGTCAGTTGTGCAACATTCAAGTGAATGTGTTGATGCTTCTAACTTTAAAGTCATTGTCCAACTCGATGTTACACCTCCACCTTTCTTTAGGGGTGATAAAAGTGATTCATTTACTGTGCATGAATGGGAAGACATGATATACAGTTATTTGAACAGTAAGAAATGCACTGATGACACTGAAGCCTCTGATATCATCTTGAGCAGATTAGCAGGGAAAGCAAGGGATGTAAGTCAAAGTGTCCTTGCGCAGTTTCCCAGGGCCGACCGCTACAGTGCTCCCTAGTACAGTGTTTGACATTCTGAAACAAAATTTCAGTGAGTTGACATATTCGAACATGCCTATGGCTGACTTTTACAACACGCTCCCTAAGACAGATGAGAGCTCAATGGACTATTGGATACGATTGAATAAGGCAATTGATGTGGCTGATGAGTGTTTGCGTAGGCGCAATAAGTGCGTTGAAGACCCTGCAGCTGAAGCTGTAATGATGTTTGTCTCTCACTGTCCAGATCCTGGCCTTGCTTTGTCTTTTCAGTTCAAGCCTGCTGACC